TATATATATATATATGAATTTGAACGGATGGTGTTTTTGACCTCTAGGGACCTCAAAACGAAAAAAAAATCGGTCCCGGGTCGAGGTCTTACCGTGAGTACTATGGTAATAGCTTATTCCCTAAGGGAAATTCGCTAAAAGAAAACTGAATTAAAACTGTGAGCGCTGCATTTCTAAGTAATCTTTGAAAGTGCAGATTTACAAACTACTATGGTAATATAGGAAAGTTATATAACACCACCAAGGAGAAGAAATAGAAATAATGTTTTTTTTTTTTATTTATAACCGTTATTATTGAAAAAAATGATAATATATTTACATGAAATGTTGATTATATATCGATCTGTTACGCACATCTTGATTATTTCCATAATCTTTGTGTCGAATCTTTTAAAGTCATCAGCAATTAATTAATTATGACTGTTATTCGTTTTTAAAATAACGCCTGTTATACTTAGTAATTGCTCGAGTTCGAGCAACAGGTACACTAGTAAATAAAATTATGTGTTTTGGTCGAGTAATACAGTAGGTAAATATTAGCCGATGATTTATGAGAAAACTTGTCGTGCATGCCTTCAATTTGAGACCTCAATCATAAAAATCGGTCGGGTAGAAGAGCCAAACAAACTCGAAAAAAAACCAAATGAAACTCACATAAGAAATACATGGGGAGCAAATTTCATTAACGTGTACAGTGGCGTAACAGCCGCCCCCGCAGACCCCGCGGTGCGGGGGGGCCCGCGAGGTTTAGGGGCCCGCGAGGTTAAGATACCCTTTTCTCATAAAACCGTCCGTAAAACCGATCCTTTGTTCACAAATGTTTTTCTCTCCTGACAAATTATAAATAAAAAAACGATGTGTTGGTAGATACTTTTATTCTGCCAAATCTACTAAAGTTTTATCTTTTAATTAACAATATTGTTAACGAAACGCCAACGCTCACTACGATCACCCGACGATGTGTATTGTCAGTATGGTTGTGTAGCTTCATGCTAGCGCTAGGAGATGTGTGCCGGGTGGGCAGATTTTCCCATCCTTGTTAGTCAGTCGTGACGTCACGTTGATTCGATCGATTCGGGAAGTCGATGTAGTTCTAAATATCGTCTATCGATATTTGATCGTTATTCGCGTCGAATTCGTTAACATAACATCATGGTTGATGGTTATGGTTGTAGGTTGTTATTAATGTAGGTTTAGGTTGTTTCTCTACAATCTATGAATATGAAGTATGATTGTGATAGTCACAGTAGAAAACGCTTTTAAACTAAAGTTATAGAACGGTCTGTAAATTAAATTTACCGCTCATATGCAAATCTAATTGTATTATCGGTAATAAGGAGCTTATAACCAAGTTGGACTTGGCTTGTGACCAAGTAAAAGATAAACAAGAACTTGAAGCTATTTGCTATACGTAGATACTTCGGTTTCTTGCAATTTTAATAGAAAATTGGTCGTATGTATTAACAAAGTGTAATTTCGATTCCACTTGATCGCCATCATTATTATCTTCTGTTGCCTCCATTTAAAATCCTCTAATAGGCCTAGGTCTAAGTTAATACTTAAGTCATATAAATATAAAAATGTATAATTTAAGTCAAACTAGGCCTAGGCCTATCCAGAAAACAACTTCTCGTAAGTTAAGTACGGGTATAAATTAAAAATTAAACTAGTGAGTTATATCTGAAAACACGATTAACAACTTTTCTTTCGTTACGCTTGTCGACATTAAATGCAATCCAACCAAACAAAAACAAAGAAAGAACCAAAGAACGAGAATCTAGAGTCCTGAACCTAACCAAGCAAGATTCGAGAAAGAAGATGGAAGCGTTTCGTTTCAGCGATTCTCAAGTAAAGTAAATTAGGGGTATTCGATATCGACTATTGACTTGTGGAGCTATGCGATACCAGTACGATAACTGCATCGCATCAACGATGACGTCACGACTGACTAACAAGGATGGGAAAATCTGCCCACCTGTGTGCCGGGCCTGCCGCCGCGCCGTGGCGACACACACTCGGAGCCAGCCCCTCGGCCCTCCCCCCTCCGACACTAACCGCTCACGTGTACTCAGCTGACCGTAGATCACCTGATTTTGGAGATCCATTCCATGCGGATTGCGAGTGACGGAGTGACTCGTCAGTAGTGCATGTCACGAGAGTTTCTCAATCAGGTGGCATGTCATTAAATTGGGCTAATTTAGTGAAGCACTAACATTTACAGTTGGGACCACGAAAGTTTGCAGTTGGCGGCAGCCAATCACAAGACTAGTGCGACGTTGCCATATCGCCCTTTGACGACACTAATTAAAATACTAAACAACATTTTTTAAACAGCTGGTATTATTCGATTTGGCAACACCTCACTGCCCTCATTGGCTCATTTGAAGTCAAATGGTAAATATGCTACTCCCTCAACTGCAAACTTTCGTGGTCCCGACTCAAATTATAGTTGGAAGCTTGGTTGAGTTTAGTAATGAATGTGAATGGTGGAGTAATGGAGTAGCCCATATATATTAATCACGGACATAACTCCCAAGTTTATTATCACTGTGACAGTGACAAAATATAAAATATGTTTCAAGGACGACTCTGGTCGTGTGGTTGAAGAATAGGTAAATACTTGATATTGCTAGAGACCATCCTCTGCCAGTCTGATCGTGTAGGCCGTATGCCTGCCGTCACCTACGTCATGTGATAGTTGTGGTGTGGTGATGGTTGTGGTATATAGTGCTGTGGTGGGGAATGGGAGGGGTAGTAGGGGGCCCACAGACATATTTGCGGGGGGGCCCGGGGAAATACTGTTACGCCACTGAACGTGTAAGCAGAGTGGGATAATAGATAAATATATGCCAATGCTTGATGAAAATCTGTACCTACATACAATCAATCAGAGACCTCAAACATGATAATCGGTCGGGTAGAAGAGCCAAATGAACTCATAATAATAAAAACCTAATTTAACTCCCATAACAAACACATGAAGAGCAGATTTCGTTTACGTATATGTGAGTGGGATTATAGATAAATACATGCCGATGCTTGATGGTTAATCTGTGCGTGCATACCTTCAATTCGAGACCTCAGTCATGAAAATCGGTCGGGTAGAAGAGCTAAACGAACTCATAAAATAAAAACCTAATTTAACTCCCATAACAAACACATGGGGAGCAGATTTTGTTTGCATAACTTATAAGCCCTGTGGGATTATAGATAAATACATGCCGATGCTTGATGGCAAATCTGTGCATGCATTCCTTCAATTTGAGACCTCAATCATGAAAATCGGTCGGATAGAAAAGCTAAACGAACTCGGCAAAGAAAAACCAAATTTAACTCCCATAAGAAATACACGGGGAGCAAATTTCGTTTACGCATAAACCGAGTGATACTATAATTATATGCCGATGCTTGATGGCTAATCTGTGCGTGCATGAAATCGTGAAAATCGATTGGGTAACTTAGAAGAGCCAAACGTAGTTGGAAAAGAAAACCCAAGTTTTTATAATAGGCCTAACTTATGATAGGCTAAGTTAGCCTACTAAAATAATAACGCACGATGCAGAAAGAACCTGGTCATCCTCTTTCACCATTGTCACCACTATAAGTTACTGAGCACCGAACTCTCAATAGGTAGGCTTACTGGTGGTGTAGTGTTGCGAACAGGATGTTGGATACAATAGGCTATGTCACTGATCAAAACAAAAGAAGGCCTACAACATTACCTGTATTGTTTCGATGAATTGTGTTTGTTCAGCTATGACAATTCTGTAACTGACTTCGGTTTAAACACAGTTTAAGTTAGGCTCCTTCAAGTTTTTCTTACATTTTAGTTTACGCCCCACATTTACTAAGTTAATAGCCTACATTTATTAGGCCTAGCTTCCAGCTGAGTATAAAATTAATCTAAACTTACCTTAGCTAACCAAACATGCTGTAAGTTATGTGAGTAAATGTGGGGCATAAACTTAAGTGCAGCCTAAAATAGCATTCATTACATTAGGGGTATGCATATCAAATCAAATATTCTTATTGCCGTATAAAACACAGTAACATGCATGGCTTGAGACACATTATTCAAATATATATAAAAAATACAACATTCACATAAGTAACAAACCTCTTTAGGCTACACCTATTTTTTACCTAATTTTCTACATAATAAAAATGGCTTTCGATTAGAAATAGGCCTACTAATTCAGAAAAAGGTTATCATACAAAATTGTTAATTTTCTTAGCCTATACTTAAAAAATGAGACTTTTTCAAAACTTACCCAACAATTCTAAATTCATATTGCACTTTAGTCAATTCGGCCTACCACAGCATAAGTTATAAAATAGGCCTACTAAAACATTATTGGAAGTTGTTAAAACAAAAGTTTATTACTGTACTTGTTATCTGGACATTCTACCTGTAGTGATTCTAATTCTAAAATAGTGAGCTAAAATACCCAGTAATAAATCCATTTAATCAATTTTGGATTTAATATAAAACAAACAAACCCACTTAACCTCAAAATTATACCGATACGTCCTTTCCTTTCCTTTTCCTAAATAATAATAATTAGTATTAGTTTAGTAGTTTTAGGTTTTAGTTTAGTTATGGACTGTCGGACTGAAGAAATTTCTGGAAAAGAAGTAAAAGAACTATTACTCGCAGGGTTGCCACCTTAAGTTTTTTAAGTTAGTGAAAAATCGGGACATAATAGTCCCCCTCACCCCGGATTAACGCTTAATTAAATGCGGGCACAAGGAACCGAAATCGGGACTGTCCCAGCCCCGGCAGAATCGGGACGGGGGGATTATTGTACTGGATTGGACTTTAGAATAAGATCAGACGAATAGCACATCCTTCCACCTCCACTATGACAAAAGCTAAGTGTTTTGAGAGGGGGCTGACTTGACTGAGGCGAACCCAGGCAGTCGGCCCAGTCCGATCCAAAGCCGAAGATGGGAATAAAACCAAAACTCGCTTGTTCCCTTGTTCGTTCGTTCTCGTTCTGTTCTTTCTTGGTTCTTGTTTGTTGTTGTTTGTTAATAAATGGCAGATAGATATAGGTTATGGAGTATGGACTTAGTTGAAATCCAGTTATGATTATTTATTGAAATACTGTATCGTCAAAATTTTATTCAAAACAGAATAAATTGTAAATTATTTTTTAATTGTTTAAATTTTCGAAAAATGGAGAAGCCACAGAAGATGCCAAAAGTTGCAAAGGTAGGCTAGGCCTAAATTCTAGTTTAGATTGGTTATAGGCTACCTAGCTTTGAAAATCAATAGACAATGGTCCCTTTAAATCTAGGAACTAACTAAACTTAAACTTAGGCTATAAATTTTGTGGGTACACAGTTTCTTAACAACGCTAGGCTACGCTAATATCGATTGAAAGTAGGCCTATCAATTCGATTAGTAAACCTTCATTCAATTTTTTCATTATTAGCAAGTTGGGTTAGGTCAAGACAGTTTCATTTTGAAATAGCCTAGTTAAAAATGGAGATTATTAATCGTTATCTTCAATTAGCATAGCCCAGTAAAGAAACTGTAGGTACCCAGTTTTGTTCCAAACATGAACAATCTCCGCTGGCTTACAGAATACAACGTTTTTAAAAGGACCAGAATAAGTTACATCTTGATTTCTATGTTTTTCTATTTAGTTTTGTTTGACTGGGACGGTGGCATCGTCCTGTGATCCAGCTAAGTTATAAGGAGGTCACAAATTGTGGATAGCCTATTTATAGGCCTGCACTATGGATGCGATACTCCCTGGTGTGGATAAACGTCGGCACTAGTGTGTAGCCTACACGACGATCCTGATAACATGACGTTTGCTGTGGTGTTTTGTTATTGTTAGGCCTCGGTCACATTAGGCTATTTAGCAGCCGCTACTAACCAGCCACCGGTAATATTGCCAGCAAGCAGCTTAGTCTGACCCAGAACTAGCGGCTGGTAAATGCTAGCATGTTTAACTTTTTAGCGCTGCCTACCCACCGCTGGCAGTCACGTGACCTCCTTGCTGGTGGCAGCCAGCCAATGTGAACCCCTACTTAGTAGGTAGCTCACTAGCGGCTGGTGAATTAACATGTCTAGATTTTTTGTTTATGCAATGTTAGTTTCGTTGTATACTGTATTTCATAGGTACTTCCTTTTGTGAATGTTGAACATGGTTGACACCAACAAGTGGTCGGGAAAAGGCGTAACATTTCTAGATTTACCAGTATTCCAAAATTATCCTTGCCTGAGGGATGCTTCGTCTGTCAACTACATTGACAGGAATACCAAAAACGCAGCTTATAATGAGTCATATCAAAGTCAGACTTGAAGAACGAAGACTAATTGATCTTATGAAAGAGAAAAATGTCCAAGTCAAAGAAGGGTGGTGCAGGAGCAGGTGAAGTCTACAAACTAGCGGCTGTTTACTGGCGGCTAGTGGTTATAATGTGAACCGTACACATCCGCTGGCTGCTGGGGATATTTATCAGCGGCTGGTTAGTAGCGGCTGCTAAACAGCCTAGTGTGACCAAGGCTTTAGGCTAGGCCTAATTGCTGAAGATTAAACCATACAATTTACGTATAGCCTATAACGTATCAGGGTGACGAGCCACCCTGATTCAAATAGACATCTATCTTTTGTTTGAACATAATTTGTAGCTTAACTTCTAGGCCTAGGCCGAATTGGGCACTGATGTGTCTCCTGAAATAGATAGCCTTTTCTTATTAGGCTGTTAGGACAAAGTTTGAAAAAGGGTGACCTTTCAAAAACAGGTGCAAAGTGCTAAATCCAAATTCGCTCAACACATTGGATTGACAGTAAACTTGATAGCTGGATATAAGCGATGTTCTTGATATTCTACATTACCATACTGGCGAGCCACCCTGAAGATTAAAATCATAACTGTAAGGAAAGAAATGTATTAAATACTGGAGAAATTTGAAATTTAAGTTACAAAGACATAAATACTAGGGACAACAAATACATTCAAGACCCGATTTTCATTCTTACGTTGAAACTTAAATTTGACTATGTTTTGAAAGTATTAAATATGCCCGAATCACGTTTACCCAAATTATTAGCTAATGAAGTTATAAGAAAACATATACTTTGGTATAGGGAATGGGAGAGTTTAGCAGAAAGTTTATAAGTGCACTTATCAGTAGAACAAAATGATATTAGCGAAACAAGATATCAGTTGGGTCAGCTGTTGTTTGCGGTCCATGATAACGATCGTCAGCGTGTCCTTCAGACAGCCATGAATGCTCGCTACCATGCTATTTATAAATCACTTAGTTTGGATTTGAAAGATAATGGTTACATTTTTTCAAAGTTGGATTTTAATACAATTAAATGGATTTTCAAGTGTAGAGGGGAATTATTATATTTAAATTATAAACCATGGATTCAAAATCATAACTGTTTGTTATGCAATTTGGGAGAAGTAGAGGATGTTTACCACTTTGCTGCCAAGTGCCCGATACTGCGTCATTTTAGAATTTTTTGGTTCGGTTTAGAGGAGTTGTCCTGGGATATTTTCATATCCTTGTTGAACGGGGCTGATTGGGTGCGGTTTGCCCGATTCCTACAGCAAGCTTGGCGGTACAGGTGGGAAATGATACAAGAATTTAATTATTAATCTTACTTCAAGCTCTGAGCACTCTCTAGTTTTTAGAAATTGATTACAAATAGATGTATAGAATTAAAGACAAAAACAAAAACCTAAAAAAAAAAACAATTTAAACTGAAATAATGGTAAATCAGAAAGGTAATTTGAATGTATACATAATGGTACTGTACTTGTTTTATTTAGCAATTTACAATGTGTTTGCCAACTCGGCTGACGGTCTTGTAAGACCAAGTTGGAAAAATGCGAGCCTGCTGTGTGTATCATGGACCTGTCTATATTGTGGAAATGTTTTTGTAAAACATGTACTAAGAACATGTAAATAAAGCATTGTTTCATTCATTCATTCAAATTCAAAAACTCAATTTCAAATCCCATTATAATTTCAATACTCTTGACCTAGCTTACAGTAGGCCTATATCAGTCACAAAATAGACCAATATCAGCTGATAATGCAATTCAATTTAATTTATTTCCACAGTAACACCATAGGAACACAGATGACCACCCAGAGTCTACGTCAGTCCGTTCCTAACCTACTTCAGTCTGTAGATTATAAAGTTGTATGTTCTTGTTTTTTAGGTGAAGAATAAAGCACCAGCAGAGATCCAAATTACTGCTGAACAATTGCTGCGGGAGGCCAAGGAAAGAGATTTGGAAATTGTACCACCTGTAAGTTAAGTGGGCATTTAAGTTTAATTAGCCTATTGCTTAGTTACTTTAAGACTTATGAATCACTAAAATTTAAATGAGCATTTTTCATCTTGTAGTATTTAGCAATAACCTTTCTCACATTCATCATTTTAGGCTTAAAATTACAATCATAAGACTATGGCTTCTTTAGGCAAAAACGATTTCCAAACACATTTCACTTAAGTTAGAAAATTACTATCTACAAATATTCTCGTAAACATTTTTTTTCCTGTGTCTATGTCAGTGGCACTTTTATAATGAAATCAATTCAAACACTCAAGGAAAGTGGTCCAAACTCATTAAAGTTTTGTTAGGCCTATTTTAAATTTATTGTTACATTAAGTTGTATTATCTTTTATAGTGGTTTATTAACCTTTACTTTTGTTCCAGTTCAAAGATAGTTGTCTCTATCTACAACCATAGTTTCGGCTAGTTGCGTCACGTGACCATTATGCTACTAGCGTTGAAACCATAAATAGTATAAATAAACCACTAGGCCTATATATATATTTGTCTTACCAGTTCAGGGGCAAGCAAAAAAAAATTAGTAAATTATATTATTTCGCTTTATCACTGTGGGTTTTTGCTGAATAGTCGTTAGTGTTGCTCAGTTTAACAATATAATTTTTTGGTAACTAATTGCATCGCAGCAGTTATATTTAAATTCAATTGTTTGATTTTAAGAGTTAACACAAATTGGTATTGTCTTATTTTAGCCACCAAAGCAAAAGATCTCTGATCCAGAAGAGTTAGCGGATTATCAGCACAGAAAAAGGCGAGCCTTTGAGGACAACATAAGAAAAAATCGGTCGGTAATCAGCAACTGGATTAAGTACGCACAATGGGAGGAAAGTCAAAAGGAAATCCAGCGGTAAGTATGTCATTGTTGAAAGTTTCTTAGGCCTAGATAAATATAATATATTCAGCTTAAATTATCATTTTTTTCTGTATTAATTATTAACATGAATTGTAACCAAAGAGTCAAGAGCTCAGAAAACAACAATAGATTATTTAATGACAAAGATTTTGTGTATACAAGTGTTGATTTGAAGATGACATGAGTTAAAATAACGTTAAAAAACAACTTTTAAATAGGCTAGATCTATACGCGCCATAACAGCATTTAAATGTCAACCATTGATTAATTAAACATATTTTTCATCCAAAACCGACATGCCCGCTTTATTTCAGTTGGTTGTGGGTTTACTGTAGGCCTACAGTTTTTGAAATTTGTTGTTGATATAGGTTCTACTTAGTGTAAGAAATGGCCATGTGGACTTAATTTGCCTCCTGAGGTAAAGGATTTCAATTTAATTTCTTTCTACAGTAGCCTATTAATTTATGGATGGATTTAAATATATTAATTGACATTGTTTGCCGCAGAGCTCGCTCCATATACGAGCGTGCGCTGGACGTGGACCACCGCAACATCACGCTGTGGCTCAAATACACGGAGCTGGAGATGCGCAACCGTCAAGTGAACCACGCCAGGAACTTGTGGGACAGAGCAGTCACCATTCTGCCCCGGGCCAACCAATTCTGGTACAAATACACCTACATGGAGGAAATGGTGGGCAACATCGCCGGTAAGTAAAGTAAATGGGAAGGCTTTTATGGTCTAACGTTTGTTGTGGCAGAGAAGGGTTAGTTTACGATAACGAATAGTCAATGAATAGTCATTTATTCCATCTTTCAACAATACAATATATTGTGATTGATTTCGTCAAAAAATAAATACATCCTAATTTTGGCTATATTGTAGTTGACAAGAGACAACATGGCATGCTATAATTTTCTAATTTAGAGTTCTGAGGAAGAATTTAGAGTCCACCCAAGAGTAAACTGTAAGGATCTCGTAGTTGCATTGATTACTTGTCTGAAATCCAATGTCCACTTTGAAACATGTTCTTGTGTTAACAGGAGCCAGACAGGTGTTTGAGAGGTGGATGGAGTGGGAGCCAGATGAGCAAGCTTGGCTCACATACATCAAGTTTGAACTGCGCTACAAGGAAATTGACCGAGCCAGACAGATATACAACCGGTTCGTCATGGTTCATCCAGACGTCACCAACTGGCTCAAATACGCTAAGTGAGTTGCCGAAACTAGACGACTAAGAAAGTTTGGTGGTTGATTTGTACTTCCTCTTTCCTGGAAAGTGTATCAGCTTCCAGTTGGTCCCTATAACTAAAGTTTTCTTTCTCACAGTTGTTTGATCAGGCTTAACTGAAAGGACAAACTTTAGGCATCTCGTTTGTCACTATGAACTACCACAGTATGAGAAACTATTGAGAAAAATGTAATTATTGCAGCATTCTCTATGAGTCTCATTCAACTATGCTCTCATTTAATAAATCTTACTCCAGCACTTCCATTTAGATGGGATGAAAACTACAATGTCCAAATTCAGATTTGTTTTAGGTTTTGCTTATTTATTTTTAGATTTGAAGAACAACATGGGTTCGTATCCAGTTCTCGAAAGGTCTATGAAAGAGCTGTTGAATTTTTTGGTGAGGAAACACTGGACGAGCGACTTTTCATCGGCTTTGCCAAATTCGAAGAAGGCCAGAGAGAGGTAAGGTAGTTCTAAAGTTTAGTATATAAGGTTATTTTTTTCCCTATTGTTTCCTAATAATATACATTTAAAAAATGATTTTGCTATAGGGGAACATAAATTTATTTTATTTGGAATGAATTCCTGTAATTTCAAAATTTCATCAGGAAACAATATTCACCAACAGTCTTCCTGTAGTTACAGTAGAAATGCAATTTTAAATTTAATTTCATTTATCAGTTTGCATTCAGTTTAAAATTTGATTCCATCTCCTAATACAATTATAATTATAAGTATTTTATTTTAACAAACTATCTGGAAGCTTTATAGTTAAATATCATGATTCTCCCAACGGTTTTCTTTATAATTGTGATAATAATTCTTATAGCCTACTGAGGCTTTTTATTTTTAAATTTCAACTTACTTTACTTTTTGCTTTTTTACTTTTTGCAAGTCTTGTACAACTTTTTCTCCTTCTTTGTATTGGGTTCTTAATTCTGTAAGTATTGTGTAGTTTCAATATTAGTAATGAATTTGCAACTTCAATGTTTTAGCATGACCGTGCAAGAGTGATCTATAAGTACGCTTTGGACCACATTCCTAAAGAGAAGACTGCCGAGCTGTACAAAGCTTACACCATTCATGAGAAGAAGTACGGGGATCGCACTGGCATCGAGGATGTTATTGTGAGCAAGAGGAAGTTCCAATACGAAGAGGTACGAGTTATTTAGATTTTATTTCCTGGTTTCTTTACTTATTAGCCATATTTAGTGCTCATTGTGTTGTCAAATCAAATCAAATCAAATCAGTTTTATTTCCACAATATATAAAAAATTTACAATAAAAAAAAAATACAAATATATATAGTCTAGAAGCATTATACAGTAAATTGTTTACGTAAATTAATTCTAGTAAAATTAAATTTATAAAGTTATAATAGTAAAAACTTAAATACTAGTTGAATGTTTGCTCCGGCTTGAATAATAACTAATGTAATGGAAATGAGTCTACATAGACCTCAGTGGTCTGTGCGGAGACTCGAGTTGTTAAAAATTATATATATTTTTTTAGCTAATTTGCAATTGAAGAAAAAGTTTAAAATTAAATAAAAATGTACTATGTGCTATGGGAACGTGTAAAGATATTGTATTCTCTTATGTTGAAACATTTCTTCATATGTCCTTTTTGCAAGTCTTATACAACTTTTTCTCCTTCTTTGTATTGAGTTCTTAATTCTATAAGTATTGTGTAGTTTCAATATTGGTAATGAAATTATTTATTCACTGATTAAACCCTTTTTACAGGAAGTGAAAGCCAATCCACACAATTACGATGCTTGGTTTGACTTTCTCCGTCTGGTCGAAGATGAAGGCAATTTGGAAGTTATCAGAGAGACTTACGAGAGGGCAATCGCAAATGTTCCTCCAACAAAGGTAGTATGCAGGCTACCAAAATTAGTCTAATTTGTTGTTTATTGAGCTTATGGTTTAAGCCGAACAAGTTCAGTTTTCACAACTTGGCATTGTTATTGTTGAGGTTTTAGCTTTTAGCTCACTAATTTACTTTTTCGGTCTATCTGAAGGCCATATGGAAGTTGCAAAAGACTTTATGAGAAAGAGGAGAGGAGGTAAGTAATAATTTTTCTCTTGAATTCAATGTAATAAATTAAGGAGTTTTTATAAAGGTAAAGGCTAAACTAACTTAAAAGCAGACATTCTCTGTGTTGAAGTAAAATTTTAATTCAATGTTATTGATGTTTTTTATTGAAGTTCAACCTCATCTTACTGCAACTCCTAAGCACACTCGCTACCGCTTTTCAATTACTTTTATTTGCTCTTTTTCCCAAGTCTACAATTCTGAAAATGTAGACCACAGTAGACAATTAATTAATCCCTATTGATTTTTCACAGGAGAAGCAGTTCTGGCGTCGCTACATCTACTTGTGGATCAACTACGCGTTGTTCGAGGAGCTTGAGGCAGAGGACGAAGACAGAACGAGACAAGTTTACCGAGCCTGTCTGGACCTGGTGCCTCACAAAGTGTTTACCTTCACCAAGATATGGCTGCTGTACGCACACTTTGAGATACGCCACAAGAACCTAACAGTGGCTCGCAAGACCTTGGTGAGCGATTGGTCCTCAAGTAGGCGCATGGTTAATATTGTGTTTTTAGAAAGTGCCACCGCATCTATTACACCATAATAGAGGATATAAAAAATCAGTGTGGAACAAATTTCCCTAACCCCCATTGAAAAGAAACAACAAATTACTTTAATGTGAAGATAGATGTAGCCTAGGATTAATGGTAAACATAAACAATGAACTAAAATCCTGGGAATACTTCTAATAAAAAAAAAAATTTAACTTTAAATATTTCAAACCGTCAGACAAAATTTTGGACTGTCAAATAACTTCCTTTGATGCCTGGGCCCCATGTTATGTAATTTATTGTGTTTAGAAACTAAACTTTCTTTTCCCTTGTTGATGTTATAGGTAGTGTCATATAATTTGTTAGTGACCCATTTCAGCGTTCATAAAATTCTGAAATAACTACATTTTAGTGCGAATGAATTATCAACTGTACTTTGGTTTTACAGGGAATGGCCCTTGGAATCTGCCCAAAGGACAAACTTTTTAGAGGATACATTGATCTGGAGATACAACTACGAGAATTCGACCGGTGTCGTATCTTGTATGAAAAGTTTTTAGAATTTGGTCCTGAAAACTGCATAACATGGATGAGGGTAAGAATTTATTATCTTGATACATTGAAATATTTTTGATTCAATTTACTCAATGTGAATTAAAGATTAAATGAGCTCTTAAAAGGTATTGTGTGTGAAAATTCATTTAGTGATTTAATAACCTGCGATTTAAACTACAATAATAACAGACAAACAATTTTATTATTACAATTGATTTTTGGCTATTTCGTACTTTTTACAAAGGATTTATAATTTATCGTATTACGTTATTTACATAGCCTATGATTAATTGTATTACCTTACAAAAAAAGTGAGGTGGTTTCTATGTGTGTGTTCTGGTTGAGCACTAAAAATACTGATTCAACTAGGATGAGTTTGTTCACAAAGGTGGATTTTAAACCTGGCCAACGTATAGGCTTGTTTATATCCTTAAAATCATCTTCGGTACAATGGTTGAGTGGAGTCAAATACTGATTGGTCTCCTTATTGCAACCAAAACAAAACGGTGTTTGTACAGCTCCAATATGTGCATTTACATTCAATTTGTATTTTAACAAAGTTATTCATTTTATCCTGCTAAGAACTGGATTAAATTAAACAATAAAATAATATAACACTACAAACTACGTCTTTTGAGCACCTAATAACAAGCTTCTTTCTTTGAGGATGTCTTACCAACCACCCTCCTATAGTTTTTGTGACAATGGAAGCTGTAATAGGAGGGTCTACCGTTACAAAGCCATACTTCTTTATTATAAATTTTAGTGGTTCTGTTGAGTTTTGTTTCTTCAACCAACGTTGGGGGAGTGACTATTTATTCTCATCTGAGCCCCCTAGCCCATTACAAAACACAGTTAAAACAACTAGTAATGAAATATTATATAAGACAAATTTTTACCAACTCGGATAAATAAAGACTTCTTAGTTTGCAGAGTTGGAAACGCTGCTGGGAGATATAGACAGGGCGAGAGCCATCTATGAGTTGGCTGTATCACAGCCAAGGCTAGACATGCCTGAGTTGCTGTGGAAGGCCTACATTGACTTTGAGATCGGCCAGGGAGAGGTGGCCAGGGCTCGGCAACTGTACGAGCGACTACTGGAACGGACACATCATGTCAAGGTAGCCAGAAAACTAGACATTACATTCCCACGCTAAGGCTATTGCCAGTCTTAGGATGAAATTGGTATTTGTGTATTAAGAGCACAAAGTATGTCATTGCCGCTCGAGAACTGTTAAGATGTCCGCACAAAGCTTTAGATGAGTACAACCATACATTTCAAGAGCGGCAATTACTGTTTGTGCTCGTAATACACACAATATTTTTCCTACCACCATAATTAACTTATTATAACAACCAGATTAACTTTGTAGTGGTATATCAATGTCTTTTAGGTTATGTTTGCTTACCAGATGTTAGCATTTTATAGAAATATCAGTGAAATCAGCAGATTTAGCGAGTGGGAATGAGCGATTTTGCGCACTGTTTATAGGTGTGGCAATGTGATAATTTCCATGCAGTGGCAGGGAATAGTTATTTGTGTAACTAGTGGGCAAGGATCTCGAGTGCAGCAAAGACCTTTTGCACTCGTGTTACACATTATATTTTTCCTACAGTCACTATAAAACATATAAATAATTAGTCTTTCAAATCAAACACTATACAACACGATTTTAGGTTCAGCAGGCAACACAAATATGTGCCCTAGAGAAAGTAGTACCCGGTCCGTATCACTCCGCTATTTTTCCTCGACAAGAAATGTGCTCCGCGTTTTGTGAATATAGTTCCGTATGTTTTTGTAATTTGAAGTGGTTTCCGCGCCTAAAAAAATACTTTTAAAGGTATTTTCTTGTTTATTAAGACCGTAGGAATGTTTTAAAAACGTTTAAAAGAAAAGTCCAGAAAGTTCAGAAATACCGAAACTATAAACACGAGATGACAGGTTAAATCGTAGTTATAATAGTCAATCAGCTGCTCATAGTATTATTATCTTTAAGTGTTGCCAACCTATTTCCAAGCGTACACGGATTACGTGCATAATAGAACCACGCTGTTCTGTGTTGTTTCGTTAGAATCCTGATGTGCGGCAAAGTATAAACCGTACGGCAAAGTATAAATATGCAGCAATTAGCAGCTTTCTGTACTATAAACAGTACAAGGAAGCCAACTTTGTCGGGTGACTGTAGGAAAATTAACTTTTATGAATGAGCCTCTGGCAGTGTGAGCTGATATAAATAACTGATTGTCAATTTTGCCAACTTGAAAAAACTAAACGGGAGTTGTTTGGCTTACTATCACATCTTTGAATGTTTGAAACTACTTTGGTGGACTTCTAGCAGTAAAACACAGTGTGCAATCAAATTTCAGGCTTCTGATATTGTCTGGATATTGAGTAGTGTGGTACCTATTATTTACTGCTACTAAATTTTATGATACAACACCATAAGCAAGCATACAGACTGGCAGAAGGCTGCACCCATACTCTTTCTGAAATGCTTAAAATTCAACTGTTTGTTATTGTTGAAGATCTACTTTAATAGTCAGTAATGTTCTTTGATGAACACTGTTTCTGCATGTGCATTGGTGGGATTTTCGATGTTGATATCTAGATATGATATGATATAGATAATTCACAGGTGATTAATTTCACAATGCAATGTTGACCATTATTTTTAAGAAGCTTTTGCAGAGGATTTTGAGTAAGGTTTCGTAATGTGTTTCTTACAAAGACTTAATATGTTTTTATTTCATTAAAAAGTTTGCTTATAGTTTTTTTTTTATTTTAGCTAGATTTTTGTTAACCTTTGTAACTAAATGTTGAATTTCATCTCAGGTGTGGATGAGTTACGCCCAGTTTGAGATGTCTCACGGTGCAGCAGAAGACGCAGAAATAGACAAAATAGCTCTGGCTCGTAGAGTCTATGAGAGAGGCAATGCTGCCCTGAGAAATCTTGGAGAAAAGGTAAATTGAGTGTCAAACCATAAAACACACTGTTCATTTATCATTTAGACTGCACGATAAGTTTCTTCAAATAATAATTTTAAAGCTTATTGAATTGTAATTTTGGTTTTGGCTGTGAAATAAATTTTGAATTTTTCATTTTCAGGAAGAAAGAGTTCTGCTGTTGGAGGCTTGGAGGGACATGGATGTCAATCATGGAGATGACACCACAGTACAGAAAGTGGAGAGCAAGATGCCCCGCCGAGTCAAGAAACGACAGAAAGTCACGGCTCAAGACGGGGTATGTAGCCATGAATTACCAATCTGTTTCCCTTTCTTTACATTTAAAACCTTAGTTTTGACTAGGCCTAATGAAGTTAATTTTTACAACATAAAATGGTCAGGTCACTAGAATTCAGCTTAGTTTTTTTAATGGACTTCAATAAAATTGGTAAAAATGCCTTGCTAGTTTTCATAATGCTACAAAATCTGGAGTGTAGGCTGTTTGTACAGTAACAACTATCCCACCTAAAGTGGCTGCAGCATTGACAAATAAAATTAAAAAAAACATTGTAAACATGTTAAAATTATCAAAATAATAGTTTCTCTGTAGTGAAACCTATTCAATTCTTTAGGGGTTTTCCATTCAAACCACTAACCTTTACTGTTTTGAATCCGTTACAATAACATGGTAAAGTAAAAAAAAAATAAAAACACTCCTTGTAGCTGTAAAATATAAACGATGAATAAAAGATTGGTAATGTTAAAAGGTTAAGGTACCAAGCAGGCAATAGGTACAATTTTTTTGTATTGCTCACATAATTTTTCTAAAAATGCATCTTAATGCAAATGTTTGTTTTACAGACTGATGAAGGATGGGAAGAGTTTTTCGATTACATTTTCCCAGAGGATGAGGCGACCAAGCCTAACCTCAAACTGCTGGCTAGTGCCAAAGCCTGGAAGAAACAGCAAGATACGACTTTGCCACCCGAAGAAGAACATGACAATGAAACTTGAAAGCTGCAAATTGCAATGTTTAGTTGAGAGAAATTTTAAAAGCCAGGAAAACAGGAAAATATTTCTCATACAATTATTTTATATCAACTCTATTTAGAGTTTGCAGTTCCAATCACTATGATTCGTGGTTGTTTTATTTAAATACTGATATGAATTGGACTAGTCAATCAATTTTTGAATCTTAAGTTAAAAATGATATCACTATTATTTCTATTCAAGTATTCCTAGTTATTTGTGTTCAATTGTACAATTTTTATCCATCCTCTAAAGTTATAAGTTTATGTGTAGTGATTTTTTGTAGATTATTATCTGGACCAAACTATATATGTAAATAATTATGTAAATAAACTTTGTTTATTTTGAAGTTTTGCTGATATTTCAAGCATGTGCCAGGACAAGATTTTTGTAGTATTTATGTATACAAAATATCTCTCTACGACCAAGGTGGCAATCTGTAACTGAGAATAAAATATCAGTATAAGTTCCTCCATTTTGGCTCTCTAAGATGCTATAAGGTACAGTAGTCGCAGCTAGTCTGGGCGCGCGGACCCTTGTGTACTAACCGTTCCCCACGCCAAAGCCATGAAGACAGCGCTGAGGCGCTGAACAACCCCAGAGAGCCTTGTGGGCCAGATGTTTTTGGAAATGAGCAATAAACACTCCCCTCTACACCCCCCGCGCCCAGACTAGCTGCGACTACTGTAGTTGAGACTAACCCTGAGTCATGTTTCTATCACTTCCTCTGAAGGTTGTTTACACAAATAATAAACTAAACTAGTTACCCTCAACTACACGAAAAAGAAACATTTGTCCTCCATCTGATTATGCTGTGTTCCACGTCCCTACTGTAAATTTTTTTGTATACCTCATGCTTACTTTTTTCTTGTAGCAAACTTTTTCTTGTCGGTAAAAATAACACCCAATAATTTTTCTAGAAACAATCTGAAAACTCTTAAGTAAAAATATTCTGTTGAGTTTATTCAAAATGGAGAGGGATGAATAGAAAGGATCAACAAAATATTTTAAATACTAACTACACAAGATTAATTTTGATTTATTTAGTCAGTAGTACAATGGTACAAATTATAATATAATCTTACTAAAGTCCAAGTTATTTTGATACATTCAACAGACTTAATATCATATCAACAAGGCTTTATACAATCTATGACTGTTGAGGTGATTAAAAAAAGAAAATTATCAAATGCAATAAGAAAATGATACATATAAAATTAATCAATTATCAATTGTTTAAGATGGGGACGCCACTATGTGCATATTTTAACCCAAATATGAGTGTGTGGGATGAGTGGCCTAATCTTGTTATAGTTCGGCCGCTTAGAAAACGACCTGCGCGCTAATGCTAACGCGCCAATGCTGGAGGAGGTCGCTTTCTAAGCGGCCGAACTATAGTGACTAAGGCCGACATTTTACTTAGACACAGCTGTTAATTAATAGCCCAATGGCAACTAAGGGACCTACAGTTTATAGTGGAATACGAACCACATTTTTACCTTGTAATCGACGAATTGGTTTAATTATCAGGATAGAACTGCGGAAAGTCACTAGTGCGGACGTTAATTCACACCAGGGAGCATCACATCCACAGTACATGCCTATAAATATCCACAATTCGGGTCCGCGGAATTGGCTAACTCTGGAAGTCGCTAACCCCATGTTAAACGCCCTATCTTCAAATTTGGTCGATGAGAGGAACTCGCTAACTTGTTCGGTTTCGGAATTGGCTAACTCCGGAACCCGCTCTAGAGCCGGGTTAGCGAATTCCGTCCTCGTACGGAAGTCGCTAACTCGGTCCCTCGGCGGAACTCGCTAACTTCCAATCAGAAGCCTCACGGGCCGTCCAATGGGAGCCAAGCACGAATATTTTTGGCCAGTGTTGCCGAAAGTGTAGTACCTATATCGTATCGGTACCATAATGTCGTATCCTACGATTAATTAGGAGTAAGAACAACGTAGTCGATAAAATAAACATATTTGGAAGTATGTTTAACATTATTCTTATGATTATTAGGGTGGAAAATGCATTATAGTCTTACCATAGACTAACCAACACAAGTAAACTTTACATCCCATTGTAAACTTTGAAGCTCGTTTTTCGTGTCTAGTTCATGTCCGGCGACACTGATCGCTAGTGTCGACAAAATTGTGTTTCTATTATTTGATAGTTAACTTCATGATTTGTTCTTTACTGTTTGGTTATATAACTAGGGGACGTGTTATTAGTTGTGATTAGAACGTCTTATTTGGTTAAACGAAGTTTTTAATGACTGAAAACAAGAAACAATTGTTAACAAAACACGACCTCTAAAGACAGTGCACCGGACAGAACTAACAATAAAACTGTCTTCAGCTGATCCATAAGGATGAGAAATCATACTAATAATAAAATGTGAAAGTTTGTTTGTTTGAAGTTCAATCACGCTTTAACTACTGGACGGATTGGGCTGAAATTTGGCATAATGATAGCTCACATTCCCGATTAACATATAAGCCTATTCTTATCTCAAAAATCCTTCCGGGCGCCGCCCCAGTGGCTCTATGGATCCCTATGTTAACCTTATGAGTATTCACATTTAAAAGGAATTAGAGAATTAAGTCAGCTGTTTCAACTAAACAAGTTGGTTCTATGATATGCAATAGCATTAAAACGTTATAAGGTTTACCAACAGGGTACAACACGATTAGGCCATTTTTTGTTTGAATTTTTGACAATAGCTAATTGAACTAAGCAGCAACAAAAGCTGTGATACGCAATGACAACTATCAAAGTAGGATTGTTTACAGTTATTTTTAGGCCTATATGACCATTTAATGAATCATTTGTGATATTGTGCAAAGGTTTGATTAGGTGCAGTATAGTAGAGCATTATGGCTATGGTAAATGTGTTATACTATAGCATACCGTAAACTTCGAGAACCAAATTTTATCAAACTCTGTCGTCCCCCATTGCAAACACAAAGCTTGAGTATGACTGCAATAAACATTTTACACTTATATACCAACCCCGTACGAAGTACGGGTACTCTGCTAGTGTACTAATATAAGGGAGTATGTGTTATATGTAGGTTTCTTACTTAAATAGTAGCTTTTTGGTATGCAAAAAGATAAAAATGCACATTTAATTTGGATCTATTACATGTTTGAAATATCTATTTTCGTAGTCCGCCATTTGTTTCTTTTATTCGAATAAATACCATTTTGTGAGCTTCTGCAAATAAAATTATTGAGTTCGCATTTTATATACTGGGCTTGTAACCTTGAATCATAAATCATAATAAAATTTACACGTTAAACGTCATTACAGAATTACATTGTAGTGGTAATGTATTTTTCTTTTTTTTTTTCTTTCAGTAGGCCTATTTATTAAAGTCTAGAGTTTTTCTCCAGGCTGGTTCTAAATGGGCCCAGGCGTTCTTGTTTGTAACAATTCTTATGAATGGTGGCCATAGCTAAAATTACTTGATCTTATCCAAAAACAAAGCTATTGTCTATTGTGTAGCTCAGTACCAGAACGGTGAACCGAGCAATGGCTTGGTATCGTTTATATAGTTTGTGAAAGCAATATAAAGGAAACCCAACACTCAAATCAGGAAAATCAGTCAATTTGTTTATTAAGAATCGTGAATTAAAATAACCCTGTCATTTTTTATTATATGAATATTATATCTTCTTCTATTTTTTACTAGTGGTGCTTAGGTGTACAATCTAAAAATGGGTTTAAAACATGTAACATTATTGCTAAAAAATTCAACACATTTTATAATTAGGCAACTATTTACTAGTAGGCCTACAATGCTTTGGTTAAAACTATTAGGTCTAGATAAAAACTTAGTCTATGTCATCATATTTGTACAAGTAAGTTGGACGGTTCAACGACGAACATTTGATTTTAAATCTATGAATTAGTTATGAAAGTTACGATAGTTGATGACTGTATTAATTAATGGTTTTGGTTTATTACGAAATTACGATTAAATCTGTTTTCCGTGTTTGAGAACTTGCGTGTATTTTAGCTTAATTTCGTAGGGGTCTAATTATATAGTATCAATTAAACTGAATTTTCAATATTTTTCATATTCTATTATTTTCTTTTGTACTGATGGCATTAATTTTTAAGATCGAAATCATAAACATTTAACTGGCCATTGTACAGTTAAATAAATAAACACTTTTTCATGATTTTTCAATTGTCTTTGAATTCCTTTGGGCTAGTTATCTGTTAAAAGTGGAATTGATAACAAAAAACAATAACATTTACTGTATCTTCATTGACACTGACATTTTGAAATACGGCAGTGTACGGTTATTTTGTCGTACAAGGTTGGCAACGCTCCGTGCAGTGGGCGCGGCCGGGTTAGCGACTTCCAGAGTTAGCGAATTCCGCCGCGAGACAAAATCGAGTTAGCGGGTTCCGGAGTTAGCCAATTCCTGACTGAGACGGTTAGCCAGTTCTGACACACGACCGAGTTAGCGAGTTCCTGAGTTAGCCAATTCCTACGTCTCCACAATTCGTGACCTAGTAGCTGGATTACAGAACGACGCTACCCGTCCAAGTTATGTTAGCATAAAATCATTACATTAACACCAAATGTCAGCTGTAGATATAAGGAAGCATTTTTACTTTCTCCCCTTATACCATTTTTTTTCATCAAAATTTAAATTAAAATCCCCCTGGACTCAAAAAAGTGGTTTTCGAAGTGATGTCGGTGTGTGTGGAGGTGTATAGAGCTACAGACCAAGCATGTGGTCAGATATTGATGAAATTTGGTATGTTAGGGACTAATCCATGGTATCTCCAGGGTTTTTAAATTTTGTATTTGGACTTTTAACGATTTTCCCATAAAATAACAGAACATTTGAATTTTCTCAAAAATAGCCTGAACGAATTTCATAAAATTTTTGTATGTTATAGCCCTTTAAATTCTGAACTACCATAGCTGTAAAAATTACGGTTCAAAAGTTATTCCAACTGTTGTGATTTTTCCTATTTAAAATATCATAGTTACTCCCACAGCTTAAAACCCATGAAAAAGGTTGTTGACAAGCTAATGGGAGAAAGTATGTGTCAGATTGCTGATGCCGTTTATTTAAATCTATTTAATTGCATGGATAGATTACATAGTGATAGTAAACAGTGAATAAAATTCAAACATTCCAAACACTTTCCATATTAATTATCTTTAAGATCATAAAACTATAAAGATAGGAAAAAATTATATTCTGTTCTAATTTTTCATGAAACAAATTAAATTCATTCTTTGACCAATTAAAACCTAAGTAAAAAAAACAACAAAATTGAATTATATTCATTTCCTTTTAGAAAATAAACAAATTAACTTACGACACAATTAAAAAAGTTCAAATAAGTTCAAATAACACAATCAATTCAAATAACTGACAACGCCCTTTTTATATATATCAGTCAACTTCCTCAGGTCTGACAGGGTGGTCTAGAGGAATTATGGACTTCTTCTCCTTGTCTCTGCTTAAGGCCTTCCTCATATCTGAAAATGTAAGAATAATATTATATGGTTTATACTAATATTAGCTGATATACCTGTACTAAATGGTATTTATAGAAAATGCTGACCAGGAAAAAGTCTGAGAATTAAACGTGAATTGGGGAATTTAGAAAAATTATCAACCATTAACAATTCTGTTGGTTTCCTCCTAAGATTATGCAGTAGGAAGAATGTGATCACAGGAGATAATCGCAGGTGTTGCCAACATTGTGGTGGATGGTCACAAATATTTTAATCTTTCAATATGAATAGCCTCCGGATTACCAATGTACAATATAAGTGGTTAAATACCTGTGTTTTTGGTAATCCAAATGGTTGCGGTAGCAACTAGTTTCAACTAGATTCTGAGTCTAAACGTAAACTTCTGCCAATCGCGTCGTTGTATTGTGTTTTTAATGTTTCAAAGTTTTGTAAATTATATGTGTGAGCTGTGACGACCTTCAGAAGAAGCGACAATATCCTTGTAATGCCTGGTTTATATTGAGCTCCATTGTTGAGCTGAAACTAGTTGCTACTACAACCATTTGTGTTACCAAAATATACAGGCATTTAACTTATATTCACTTAACAAATATTTGTCTACGATTGTAGAAGACGATCATTGTACAGTATACCGATTTGGGGACTTCGATGTAGTTCTAATATAACTGGACTTGGAAGTAGTTTCTAATATATAAAAAACTATAAAGTATGTCTTCAAACTTGAGAAATTGGTATAAAACATGCACATACCGTAGGCGTCCTCATCAGGATCTCCTGAGTAGTATTCCAACACAGTTCGATACACAATATAGCCGAGGGCCTGATACATGGTGATAGCCACTATGTTACTGACCCTGACAAACAGATCCACAAAGTAGCAACGCTTTCTGCAACAAATTAGAGTTGTTATTAAAGTAATTTGTATCATTCAAGGAAGTAATTGAAATTGAGACTTTGTACCGTCAGGTCGAGGTGCAACTCACGTTTCAGATATTTTCTCCAGAGAGTTCATGAGTGTTGCCGCCACGCCGAGCCTCCGGTACATGTTAGATACGGTGAGGGCTGTAACATGGCCGTGCCAGTTCTCACCATGGCCCTCACTCTTGCCCATTACTGAAACATGGTACAACTGGAGTCAACAAACATTTATGTTGCATAAACATAGCAGATAGATAATGAGTATTCATTTAAGTATGCTTGTTAGCGTTGCGCCAAGTTTGAATACAACAGTTTGCATCTGACCTTAGTGAACATGATTCCAGCCAAACACCAGTAGGCCTATCGTTCAAATGAAAAAGAACCAAATTACTTGCATGATAAACCTATTTTAAATGTAGCTGCTCGCAGTGAGTTTAAGGGAAAGCCTTATTGAAATTGCGGAAACTAGGCGAAAAAATCCGTTTAGGCCAAATTTAGATACTTGAGAGTAGTTTCTACCATTGGAAAACACAAATTTCCATTTTTTTGGGGGGGAAACACAATTTTTTCGTTTTTAAACACACAGTTTTTTTCTATGGATATTCAGAACTTTATCTCTGCAACCATTCCTCAACAAATTTTAATAGTGTCACAAAAAATAAAATTGGAAAATCATAACTTACTGTATCCCATAATTTCTCCATTGGGTGCCTCAACAACTTGGAAGTATTCGGGCCAGTGAGCAAGATATTGCATGTAGAAGGATATTCCATACTGACATAGTTAAAAAAAAATATAAAGCTCAACAAAACCTGTACAATATCATCATAATTTTCAAACAAAATTGTTATATTTGATGATTCTCTCACAAGACACACAATGTTAAGCCGCGTCAGGGCCGTCCCTAGGGTTGGCAGCGCCCGGAGCAAACGTGGTTGTGGCGCCCACTCCCCCCCAAGTAATAGTCAGTCCCATTCGCATATTTTAATACTATGTTCATACAACTAGCCCCTGCGTGGCGCCCGGGCCAGCTTGCCCCAGTTGCCCCCCCCCCCTTCGGACGGCCCTGAGCCGCGTCCTTTTTTCTATTTCATTTATAAATAGTTCAGTATCGAACTCTGCCACTGCCATGGTAAAAAGCAAGAAAACTACGACAACACAACTCATGCTGAGACTTTGTCTGACTCCTGAGGAGAACAACGAAACGAGCGACTGGCCGATTTTTTATTCAACCGTGTGCGCAGACTGATAACAACCTGTACATCACAGATTTCCGGGTGACAATCGCCTTGCCTACGAATCTGCAGCAAAATGCAGATTTCAAAATCGGCGCAATTCTCGATTGCCTGTGTGTGCGCTTCCATTCTAATACATGATGCACAGATCAGCAGATGAAATAATCGCCAAAAAATAATTACTCAGTCCAACGATACGTTTTATTCCCCAATGAGCTTCAAACACTCTTAGACCGTTGAAAGCAACATCCTGTTTTAGTGGCTCTGATTGCCTACTGATTGGGGCTGGAAGTCATCTAAGCATGGGATACTTCCAAATCCAACAAATGTTAAAGCTGCATGCACCACCAGAGCTTCTTAACACAATCTCATGTATGTGTGCAAAAGGGTGTAACAGTGGTTGCACTTGTAGGAAGAACAGAGTCAAATGTACAACAATTTGCTACCACTGTAAAGGTGTTTCATGCACCAATCCACCAGATGAAGACGATCCACAAATACGCTATGACGCACAATGTGACTTGGATGAGGTGTACAGTACAGAGGAGGAGGAAGTAATACCTTCAATTCCGGATTTACCATAAAAGAAAAGATTCATTCACCCAAAAGACAAAAAATCTTACGAGTTTTTTGTAATTTGTTTTAAAGGATACAGTTTCAGTTAACGGATCCATGTTCCTGAAAAGAAAAATCCATTATTAGAGATGTTTTATTGGTCCTTATTAGGCTACAGTATTTAAAAGTTGTCATTTTAAACTCTTATAATTATTTCCATCTTTTAGCGAATTTCCCATATAGGGAATAAGCTATTACCGTAGTACTCATGGTAAGACCTGGACCCGGAACCGATTTTTTTTTCGTTTTGAGGTCCCTAGAGGCCAAAAACACCATCCGTTCAAATTCATATATATATATATTTATATATACCGTATATATATATATGTGTCCGTTAGCGCGATAACTCAAGCAAAAATGATCCGATTTTGATGAAATTTGGTACAAACATGTAAACCTACGTTTATTCGAACGAGTTCGCGAACCAGCATGATCAGACCATGGGAACAGGGGTTTATGGGGGCTTTTATGGGGTAAAAATGGGTTTTTCCTATTTTTGACCCAAAAAACATAAAATTTTGAAATTTCTTTCCAAACTATTTTGTAGAGCTTAAAAAACAAATAATTTAGTATATTGAAGCGTTATAATGCGCCTAATGGTTACGGAGAAAATTCCAAAAAATTGTTAATTTAAAATTCCCATGTTATTCTTATGGAGAATAAGTAAACCATTGTAGTGTGCTTGTTTATTAACATATTTTGCCCAAATTTGGAAAATGTTTTTATTTCTTACTAACTATTAACATTTTACATAAAAAAAACACTTTTACCCTCCCTGTTGCAGCAAACCTAAGTATGTGTTAAACTGATTCTATTTAAATAGGGAATAAATGTGATATTTTTAAGGAGACATTTTAGTCTAAATCCAATCAGGCAAATGGAAATTCGCTTAGTCTGCAGGTTTGCTGCGGCGGGGGTATTTTATTCATTAATGTTGTAAGTTAATATGAATTAGGAACTTCATTTTATGTTGTTTGTTGTTGTTCCGGATCGGTACGACATACAATAAAAGGTTAAATTACCTGTGTCCGCCAGTCGATCCTTATGTGCTGTGTCCTATTACAGGATATGCATTTCGGCAGAATAAATTGCCATCATCAGTCCTAATATAAGATCTTGATCTTCCCCGTTGGGTGCGTCTTGAAGTTTTGAAACACGTACACGAACTTAACACTTATATACATTACGAATAAAAGACAAATACACTGTAGGCCTACTTTTATTTTAGTTACTACGGTACGGACATGTAGACAGACGCGCGTCGGTCGTGTGTCGAGTCTGGACTGGGGTCAGACGTTACTTGCAGAGTGTTGACCTTTGTCCTGTCTCTGTCCTTTGTAGCTACAGGTGGCGTTTCATTCAATTTTAACAATGATTCGAATAATATGTTGGATTGTAGTGTACTTTTATCGTTCAGGAGGTTGTGGGGGCTGGTTTTATATGCTCTATAAATTTCATATGGCTCTAGTGCTGACATTACTCGACTTTTTTTACAAATGTGTAAAGGTTTTAAATTTTCATTTAGGCTGGAATAACTGTTATTGCTGCTAATTAGGTGCTCGGCAAAATTGGATTGTTGTGTTAAAATATTTTTGGGAAGGTGTTCTTTAAACCTCTTGATAAATGGTCTACCAGTCTGTCTTTTATTCGTAATGTATATAAGTGTAAAGTTCGTGTACGTGTTTCAAAACTTCAAGACGCACCCAACGGGGAAGATCAAGATCTTATATTAGGACTGATGATGGCAATTTATTCTGCCGAAATGCATATCCTGTAATAGGACACAGCACATAAGGATCGACTGGCGGACACAGGTAATTTAACCTTTTATTATTAGGAACTTACTTGAAGGCTGAAAATTAGTGACCTAAGTTAGTATGCAAAACTCAAAACATAAACTACCTAGGTTACTTTCTACATTATATTTTTATGTGATTTACTTAGGCCTAACTTCTCAGTTTTATTGCTATTGAATCATGTGGGTTAGGTTGTTTTTGATACTTTCTGATTGAGTTACACTAGGCCAACATTAAATACACTCTATGAATGAAAACAATAAAGGCATAAGTTATGATGTGCTCATCGAAAGTAGAGAAGTCATAGATTGATATTGAAAATACTGTTTTGATAAGTTTTTAGTGGTAGAGCTACTACGGTTCCTGAGATCCTGGGTATTTATTTCTTTTTGTCTATGGTTCAAACCACCAATGGATTGTATCTAAGAGATTATATGCAGTAACCCCTAACTTAGGTCTAAGTAGCCTGAAATAAGTTAATGTGAAAAACAATTCCGGGCTCGTACCTAGCTTACCAGGGCAAAAAATTTTTATAAGTTAAGTTATTATCACAAAGTTTTACCTACGATTTTATGACTGTAGGCCTAAGTTACCTTTTTGTAAAATTGTGTTAGTGTGGAAATAAATTACTTGATAAGTTAAATTAGAAACATTTAAAACAGTTTATTATTCTTTAATTCATTCTCACCTGTCCCAAGGAATAAGCATTTACGGAGCAACAACTAAGACAAATTTAGATTAAAATATTGCGGAAACAAAAAAACGTGTTAAGAATTATATATGTATTATATATGGCTATACAGTAATTTGAAAAGGGATCAATCTGTTAAACATTTATTTATTTCCACAAAAATCCTAACCCTTTATGCTCTCTACGTTGTAGAGACAGTAGCTAATGTATGTAAAACAGGGAGAAAATCAAAATTTTCTAAACAACCTTCACAGTAGAACGCCAGATTAAATAGACCGGTAGAACCACACAATTTGAAGAATTTTTAAAAAAGAAAACAGAATATATGGGAACTACATTTTTGTTTCATCTAAGTTACCAAAGTAATTTCTTGTTGAACTAAACATAAATAAAAGTTTAAGAATGACTTGAAAGAATATTTGGTAAAATAAGCTCCATATTCTTAAACTGATTTTTTTGTAAACCACAAAGTTAAGAGTAGGCCTAAAATTGTTCTTGAGTAAAAGTCTAAAGAAAATTAATTAATAAGTGTAGGCTATTTACATTACCATAAAAATTAAATTAACTAGACCCTATTAGTAAACTTAGGCTACTATTAATTTAGACAAATTTAGTGTATCTGTTTTTGTATATAGGCTATTGGATTATTGTCATTACCTAGGGAGGACTATTTCTTTTTGTTAACTTTGACACTATATTTTTGTTGTACCATTATACAAATAAATGCATAACTAAAGAATAGAATCCTATTTGAATTGAATTTGATCCAAATGTAAAGTAACTTAACTTAGGCAAATAAGTTCAAGGAATAACTTAGGCCTTGGCCATAAATTGATATCTAGGGGGGGCCTAGGCCTATTTTGGTTTTATATTTTTTGTAAATATGATAGAGTGGCCTATATCAAAGTTTCACACCATTACTGATTTATCGGTGAAAGAGAAGAGTTTCGATAGGTAACCTAACTTTACAACAATTTATTAAAGGTAAAAATAAACTTACACTTTATTGTATTTTAACAGATCGTTGCAAGTGAACGGCCTTAAAGTTGTCATTTTCTTTGCGGGAAATGTATACCAAATAATAAATTTTTAGGTCACTTCTGCTTGAAAAATTTAATAAAATATAACTTAACCTAACAGATACAAAGTAGTAGGATAGGTTTGATGATATCAGTAGCAGTAGCACAAAAGTAGCAGCAACAAACATAAACAAAACAACTGACAAAACAACGGCAGTCGGGTGTTCATTCGGTGTTGGGTGTTGGCCTTCCTTAGCATAGATTAAACAAGGGAGTATGTTTAATCTATGGCATTAGGCATCAGCAACAGCTCAGCTGGGAGCTGACTAGCTGAACTTTTTTACCAAATTTGGCATTGCTGTTGCTCGGTATACACAATGCAGTCGTGTGGTTCAATATTTTACATTTTATTTGGAATTTAGGTTGCTTATTAACCATATTGACTATCAATCATATTACCTTTGACCATCATATACCATAACCTGTTAAGGTATATAGATAGTCAATGGTATTATACCTACCGGAACTAGAGATGACACTTGCTGTTGTTGAATACAAACTGTTGTGTTTTACAGAAATGGCAGAATGATGAGCAAATCAAGCTAGTGAATTTAAGTGGGTTCTCCCCTATTTCCTATTTCAGCTTTTTGTAGACCCTCCATAAAAAAAACTGTGATGTTGTTTTCTTTGGAGAGGAGCCCCCTGTATTATGGACTCGGTTACGGTGATCGATGTGTGTTTATTTATTTATACGGTAAACACAATTTTTACAGTCAACAATACATGAGATTCAAGTTACAAGATAAATATTTATAAAAATATATAAGCCAGATACAGATTCATCTTGCTAGACAATAGTAAACATGCATAAACATTTTTAGAAAAATGAATAATGTAGAAAAATAAAATGTAAATAAAAATGTTCTTTTGGTCGTGAGTTGCACCACGAGTATGTTTGCTTAAAATTGCTGGACATAAATGTAATTGTAATAGGTATCTATAGGTCCCCTGATGGAGACCCTGCTCTGTTTAGATAGCCTTGAAAGACTGTCATGGGAAGGGAAAACAAACCATGTTATCTTGGGGGGTGATCTGAACATAAACATTCTAATTAAAAATAGATTGGCATCCGACTTGTGGAAATGCGTACCTTGACAGTGTAGCAACTAGCAACTGATCTTGTCTTGTGGAGACACATTTCATCGCGCAGGTAGTGAATCTTGGTGTAAGTGATCATGATACCATAAGATTTAGTCTTTTTGACCCTATCTAACAATAGCTCTCCAAACCTTTGTAGGCCTATTACCATAGACAAAAATTTGTCTATGCTATTACCTATAGGTCTCTATTGCAAGCACCTGCTAATGTAAATAGCTTTATTGGAGCACTGGACTATGTTGAATGGGAAAAGGTGTGTCTAAATTGCATTGCAGAAGAAAACTTTATACACTTTTTTAAGACTTTCCTCTTAACATGAGTGTTTGTGAGTGTTTCCCTAAAAGGGCCAGGCGACCTCGTGTTAAGCCCAAAAAACCTAGTTTTCCTTATTGGAAAGACCCAAACTTGCTACACTTAAAAAATGGAAGCTTCTAGCCTATGACATATAGAAATTCACCAACCGACGAAACAAAGTCGAGATACCTTCACATAAAAAAGGAATTCCAACTTAATCTTAAACGTGCTAGGTTCTGCTAGCCGACTCGTGAGTTAAGAGTTGTGCACTTACTTTGTAAGTTAAGGTACTGTGTGTACCAAAAGGCTGGTTAAGGACTGCGTATGTGGCCTTTTTCCAGAGCATCATCACATATGGACTAAGACTTTGGGGTGCCACTCCTGAAGTTGAGAGGGTCCTACTTCTAAAAAAAGGCTATAAGAATAGTAGCAGGAGGAAAGCGCCTGGATCACTGTGAGCCTATCTTTAAGGCTAAATCCCTCATCATGACAGTTTAAATTTTTTTTATCTTTCAGACCTTCATCAAAATCAAAATTAAGGAGGAGGTGGGCGCTCTCGAGCTCAGGAGCGACATCCACTCGTACAATGTGAGAAGTAAACAGGATGTAAATGTACGGTACCCTATGTTAGGCTTAAGAAATTACAAAAAAAAACTATGACATTGTAAGCCTTAAACTATTCAATGTTCTCTTGTACAGCCCGCAACCTTCCAAGTAAACATATCAAAAGGGGCGTGGAATGTCTCCTCCTGGCTAGCCCAATTGAAAGTATTGATTAATTTTTTAAACTAAAAAAATAATATGGAAGTACTTTTTTTTACTATGATGGTTTGCCGAGTGTGCTGTTCGGTTTTTCACTCTTTGCATGGCAAGTTTCAGGACTTTTTCATTTGTCACCTGCTATGACACATTGTATTTCCTTTTCTGTATCATGTGATGTTGAAGGAATTTTTTATTTATAATAATCTTTTAATGGATATTTCATAATGCACTAGAATTATACGTTTTCCAATGACTTTATATTTTAAGCCTGGTAGAATTGGCAACGTCGCAAGTGGTGTTGGCTAGCGCCAGACGTCCCATAAGATAACGTGGCTCACAGGTGACATCAGCTCATTAATTTGCACTTTATTGATTAAAATTTAAATTTATGAAGATAAATTTATTAAATTATTGAAAATAACTGATACAGAATTGAAAACAGAAACAACATGAATTAAAAATCTATATCTGTACATTTTTAAGCGGAGTCAATATTGTCATAGGCTAGTCCAGTAACCAATCTTTCCTAAATACCATTAGCTGCTTCCAAACAAAACAGCTGTTACAACACCACTTGCGACGTTGCCACTTCGAAGGCCACGGCCTGGAATTAAAGGCGGCCGTGCTTTGGCCTCGCCATCGCCAAACATGTGCCTCCAGGGCTGCAGGATCTCCTGTCCTCTGCCACTCTGCCGTTTTCCTTCCACCATTGTCCTCTGACCTCTGCAATATTCGGGTTAATATTGCATTATAAAAAGAGTACTTGCACATAATCACATGGAGGCACAACATACTAACTAAACGTTACTTTTTACTTTTTTTAAAGATTGGGATTGTGATAGGATAGGATATGATTATTGAGGAATGTTAGGTTGATAGGTTCGTATATTTGCTTGTGGACACCTTGTGGGTGCAAACTACAAGCACAAAATAAGTTGTATATGAAAAAGCACTTCAAGCAAATGATTGGTTCTTTTTGGGGCGTAAAGTGACTCTTTTTGACCCGAGCTTGAGTATATCGAGTACATACGTATATACTTAATACACGTACGCATAATAGGGGGCAGCTCACTTACTCTACAGATCATAGACTATACGAGCTTTTTAAATAATATTGAAGGTTCACTTGCACTACAGGCTCGTATACTATACGAGCCTATCGAAAATAAAAAGTAAATGAAGAGGGTTCACTTACTCTACAAATCATTGTGCCTATGAGCCTCGTGTATTATATTTAAAAATACAGTAGGAAGGTTCACTTACTCTACAGATCATAGTGACTATGAGCCAAGCTTACGAATTATTTGATAATTCAGGAATCGGCTCGTATAGTATACGAGCCAAAATAATGAATAATATAAATTATAGGAATAGGCTCGTATACTATACGAGCCTGCAGAAAAATATTAGATGGCTCACTTACTCTACAGATCATTGGCACAATGATCCGTAGAGTAAGTGAACCCTCTTCAAAATATTAGATGGCTCACTTACTCTACGGCTCATTTAGCTACTCGTTGCGCGGTTTGCGTTCGTGAAACTCTAGGCGCTATGCCCGGCTTCGACTGCTGCGACTGCCTACATAAGTGTATTGCATCACCTCAATTATTTATTAAAACGAAATAAATATGTTTGCACAAGTAAATTTATTACATTTTTGGACTGAATACTTTAAAAATGGAGGGAGCATGACTTTTATGTTTAATTAAATTAAAAGTTATAGAATAAAACATATTTTGACTATGTGATTTGATCATGTTATATAATACACACTTGTATGATCCAGATACAGAGCTACAGACAAAACCTGTGGTCCGATTTAGATTAAATTTTGTATCTGGATTCATCCACGAGTCACTAATTTTTTAAGCACGGGTTGAGAAATAATGGCAAAAATTTATAAAAACAGTTCACCAGTTTAGAATATTTCTCAGTTACTATGAGTTGCAAAAAAGTGTATACAGAAGCATTTGTGTTCACAGAAAATATAGAGGACTAGATGTATACAGAAGATATATTAAAATACAATACGCATACAACTATCAACGTTTACATATGTAAAATTAATGAATTTGTTGTGGTATTGAGTATTTTTAACATTATGACGAAGCCTTAACAAAATATATTTTTTTAAGGAGTTCTAGGGTGTTAAACTATATTGTATTTATCTTTTGTGGAAGATTCTGTCCACGATTTATGATTGCTAACAATTTAATACAAAGATTTAAGTCTCTGTACGTGAAGACTAAAAACACGAAACAAACTTTAAAGGGATAGAAAAGATTTGATCAGGAGCTGGCGTTTGATACCTTTTGGGAATAAATATAGCCTCTACTTCAAAGGTATACATGGTGAGGTAGCCTCTGGAAGTCCATCTTCAGGTTAACAAAAACGTCAATAGGTCATCTAACCAATTTCGTTAGATGACCTATTGACGTTTTCTGAAGATGGACTTATTTTCAAGTCCGAAACTATAGTAGTGTAATACTGAAGAAGGATCACTTGACTAAGCCAGGTAACTTAAACCATTTAGCTTAAAGTTATACAAGTTGGTTTCACACCAACATTTCATGCACATATGAAATCTATATAATTAATACGCGAACACGAAGTTTGTCGGTTGAATCCTCCACCATTTCTTAACCGATTTTATCCACTGACGTCTCATTGGAAAGAGCGTGTTGCGTAGATTTGCAAACTGGCCTAAATTTTTTGAAAAAGTCCCTTGGCCTCTGCCACAGTGGCCTTTTATTAAGTTCCCATGTTATCCTTACGAAGAACATAATATTGTTTACATCAGCTGTTTAATTTAATTGTGTTCTTTGTTTTTCAATTCAACGAAACGCATTGGTTACATTAACTGATTTTGTGGAAATTAAATATCTATCTATATATTAATTACGAAAGCCGATTCTTTGCGTCAAAATTGTGGGCGACTGGGTAGT